TCTGGGCTGATGCTGAAACTACAAAGATGGACAGAAATGGACCTGCCCGGCACAGGCAAACAAATAATTACAGTACAGGCTCGGTGCCTGTAGCACAGTGGTTATGGTGCCAGACACATACACTGAAGTTGGCGGGTTCGAACCCAGCCTGGACCAGCTAAAACAATAATGATAACTGCAACAAAAAACAGCCAGGCCTTGTGGCGGGCACATGTAGTCCCAGCTACTTGGGAGGCTGAGCCAAGAGAATCGCCTAAGCCCAAGAGTTTGAGGTTGCTGTGAGCTGTGACACCACCGCACTCTACCAAGGGCGACATAGTGGAAGTCTGTCTCAAAATAACAATAATAATAATAATTACAGTACAATGTGCTGAGTTTCATATAGAGGTGTTACAACTAATGCTGGAACCAAGAGAAGAGGACTTCTGACCACATTTACCAACTGAATAAAACTTCACCTAGGAGTGACAGTCTGCTAAATTCTAGGGACTGGAGAGTTCAAGCAGTGAACTGCTATTGACACAGTTTTTGGTCATTTTCTACTTTCGGATGACTTCAGGGTAACTAGGCAGCAGGATTATTGAGGTAACTAGCATGGTTGTATATTTATTATCGCTTTGGCTGAAGACCGCTGGCAAATGCCCAGCCAGATAAGGGGTGAAGCCCTTGACCCTTACTTGGCCTTCAGACAACCCTCCCCGCATTTGGAGCTTGGTCTAGTCCTCTCACCAGAGCAACCCAGTCACATTTTTTTCCCAGATTAATATGAGGGTACAAATGATAAGGTTACAATGTTTGCATTTGTAAGGTAAGGTCCCTGTTATAGTTGCACCCTGCATCCAGGAGGTGTGCCATCACCCTTACATTGTGCCCATTCAGTGAGAGCATACCAATTCCCTTCATTCTCCCGGCTCCCCCAGTCCCCTCCCACCAACTTGAATTAAAGTGAGTTTTTTTCTTGTAGCCCTCACATTTTAGTAGCCCCACAGCTGTCCCCACTCACAGCAGCCCACTCACTGTCCACTGGGACCTCAGAATGCCATCAACAGTAAGCTGTGCCAAAAGGAAATGCTTTCTCCCAGCTTAGGCCGCCAGCCTAGAGGCCATCACAGGGAGTGGCCAGGCGCAGCCAATCCCTGGGCAGAAGCAACTGGTTCTCATCTCTATCTCTTCAGTCCTGCCCCTGTTTTAGGAATCTCATGTTCCAAGGCCAAATTCACTAAATGAAAAGACAAGATATAAACATAACTTGCCTAACAAAGCTCTACCTTCTCATCTTCACATGGAGATTAAGATTCCACAGTTCCTTCAGCCATTCCAGTTTCTTCAGCAAGTACTCATTTGGCACTGACTGCATAGCCAGTGGATGGGAACTTCTAATAACACCATCAAAGATGGTCTGGAGTTTCCTCTTCTAGCTCAGCACAGAGAGGACTCTCTTGGCAGTAGGTGTGACAGGAAAGACCCCTGTCTTTGCAGTGAGACAGATGCACTCTGTGACTTGCAGGTTGTTTGGTTGGTTTCTTTATCTATACCTCGGGGCTAGTAATACCCATCCTTTTTTTAATTTAACAGCTACTTAAACGATGTTAAGAACAAGGACAGGGATAGAACCCTGCCCTTGCGACTAACTATATTTCATTAACTCTAGGACACCATGGGTTGCAAGAGGAACCATTCTTTTATATACACTAAGAAAATACTACTGCCGGGCAGCACCCATAGCTCAGTGGGTAGGGTGCCAGCCTCATACACCGGGCCTGCTAAACAATGACAACTGCAACAAAAAAATGGTTGGGCATTGTGGCAGGCCCCTGTAGTTCCAGCTACTTGGGAGGCTGAGGCAAGAGAATCACTTAAGCCCAAGAATTTGAGGAGGTTGTGAGCTGTGATGCCACGGCACTCTACCAAGGGTGACATAGTGAGACTCTGTCTCAAAAAAAAAAAAA